AGCATTTCACTTATACAAGATGTATACAGTAATGAATGCACTGTTAACTCACCGCCCTCAGCCCCACATTACTCCTTAAAATCTTCTTGTTTAGAGATAAAGCGTGGACATGCATATCTCATTAGTAACTGAAAATACACATTAAAGTCTAAATTTCATACTTCTGTCTTACTACTACATATAATAATAGTTTGATAGTTATTTACGAATCCAGTAAAAAGTATTTCATGGATCACGAGTACTGAGCAGAAGTGTCGGCACCTAGTGAAAGCATTTTTGAGAACTAATACAACTACGTTAGCCTTTTTCTAATATATATGCACCTATCAACGCAATGAAAAGATAATGACGAACTGTTATTACAAGCATTGCATTTACTATGTGGGGAATGTTGTAACAGGCAAACTTCACAGCAACATGTACAAGTCTTGCATGTCATTGCATCAGTAATATAAGCATACTAGTTGTACTTCGGCCGAATGTGAATAATCTCAAGGCTTCGTAACAATAGCTCTGTGGGAAATAGATGTATTGGAAAGCTGCTTGAGGACACTATGTATGGCGACACTTAGCGGGATGTCTACAAAGACTGATAACCTGCAATGAGGAAGGCAAAAATGAAATAATTAGGATACATATAATACATAATATAAGCATTTTAGTTAGGCGTACTGCAGGGATAGAAACAGTCACTCATGTCATTCACTTCTATTCACACTATTGCTTATGTGCGTGTTAGTGACTTTGGGTTCATGGTTTCTTCTTCGGTGCACTTTATCTGGACAATTTAAGGAATTGAGAGAATGCACACAGTACTTAAGAAACGGCAATGATGTTTGATTAGACCAATTAACACTGTAGTAAGTTGTGACACTATGCAGCTTCAGTGACAAATGCTGACTGACTGAGTTTTAACATAGAACTTAGCACAAAAGTACAGCAGTTCCACTTCTTACTACCCATACTTGGAAAATATTATAATGAGTTGGTAATAAACTTAAATATTTCATCAGATATATTTCCACTTAGCATTTACACTATGGGACAAAATAAACCTACTCATGAGATATGGCGAGACAGTGTTAGGAGGAAAGACTATTGTAAGATAACTCTTTTTTTCAGTTAGACAAAACCAGATGAAAAAATAGGATTATCATTTTTTAACATTTCGTTATACCTAGATTATATGTCATTCCGACTGACTGACTATCAACATAGAAGCTTGCACACTAATGCACCTGTTCAAGTTGCCACATTCCATGTAGCACCCAAATATATAGAAATAGAAATTAAATGGAACTCTAATGAGCACAAATCTGAGGGGGGGTGAATAGTGACAAGGAAAAAACATTAGGGTTGATTGGATATGTAAGATTACACAGAGTGAATGCATCTGTGTCATTGACAACGATTTGAAGTCACATCTCCACCTGACATTATACGATTAAACTAAGATAAGGACGACAGTTGTAGAAATGAGTATTATAATAAGTCATTCTTGGAAATATGAATTTCCTTATAGTTAAGTTTCGGTATTAAGTGAACGGAATGCAATTTGTAGAATTCGTAAAATTCACAGTGACGCACTTCTTCTTCAAAAAATCTAGTTAACGTTCCCTCAGTGGAGTGAGAAATGGGTATTGTGGTTGTGTTAACTCAGTAGATTGTGGACTGCCGCCTATGAAAATGACAACAATTCTTACAACTACGAGTTATAATTTTACCTTGATTGCAGCGCTCAGCAATTGTTAAATGACCACTTGACTAACGTAAAATCTATACGGAAGTGCGTAAGGTTTAGTAAAACATATAAACTTTTGATTTCACTATGGAGTCTCTTTGCCAAATGTATTATTGTAAGGGCGTACACAGTTCACAAATTAACTCATAACACTGAGGTGAAAAAACTTCTGTTTACCCGCAATGAACATTACATAGAGAGTCTTCTGAAGTAGTTCTTGTGTCATTAACTTTCATATGGAGAAGAGAGGAGCAAGGCATTCATAATCTTTTGCTTCATGTGCAATTGCAGCGCAACTCGATGCCCAATAGTATTCAAAAGAACAGACTGAAAAATGAAGTCTTCCTTACCTTATGAAAAACTTATCAATGCTCCAACTAAGATAATAACCTTCTTCCACGTGTGAGCCTAAGTTATGTCTATGCAATCTAAATACTGTAAAAATTAAATCTTCCCTAAAAATAAAGGCCATCTGAAACACAAGTTCACAACAATGATACATATTTTGCCCATAATGCTAATGATTGTTGTCTTAAAGTGAAAAGCAGACTGTGACGAGTAAATGAAAACTGAAATTAGTGCTGAGACTGTGATATGTATTCCAACAACTACCAAGCCAATTACGATAAGAGGGTTTCATTAAATAGTCCGAATATACCAGTATGATTTCATGAAAACTCAAAATTATACTTCCGAATTTTGAATTTCCTACTTTATTTAATCCATCACATTTCGCAGATATCAGTATCAAGCGATATTTCCTAACAGAGATGCAGCAAACGTGACGCAGTTCAAGTAAATTAAACGGCTGATATTTTATATGTCGGAACAAGTTTTTAAAGTAAAATTTCATTTAAATAGCATATAAAAACATAAATTGTCACTAAACCAACGTAGCAACGGACATCGACCCTGCAGTTAGTATGGTATGCAATCAAGCCACTCAACTTTTAGGTTCCTTTTCGATCATAAAGTCATAAAATAGTGATTTCGCGAATGTGTAGTCATTACAATGTCTCCAGTCCAGTGATTATTCCGTGCAGCAGAAAATATCGACTACTTGAGAGATAGCATAAAAAGGTTAGGCATATTGTTCTTCGTGCGTATACAGCGCACTGGGCACCTATTGCTTTTGTGGCCTGAAGTAGGTATTCCTGCTCTCCTCCATTAATCTACTTAAAGGAAGCAACTATTTAACGTTTTATAGAAATGACAATGGTACTATGTCTTCAGAGTTTATTATTATTTGCTGCCTATAAATTATTGCTAATTTGATAAGAAAGGCAGGGATCGGGTGACTGTCGACAACGAACCATTAATCTACTGGATTAGTGGAAACGTGACGACACTGTGTAATCTTTCTGCTGTACAAAAAAGGGAAAGTTTACATTGTCAAAACGATGTAGGCAGGCTAGTCCAATGATAATCTTGAAAACCCTCAATACTGAATAGCAATCCCTGTAATCTATGTGCAACGACACTATCAACTTCATTCATGTGGTCGAGTACGAAGTACATAGTGTCTCATACAAACCACAACTAATTCCAACCACATAAACTGTCATGCATTATACCGAATATATTCTCATTAGAATATCAAACCTCTGTCCAGTCGACAAGAGATGAACAGGACCGAAAAAAATCAACTTGGTTTTCAGTGATTTAGTTTTGCTCCTGTGACCAGAAAATTCAAATTAGTTGTGTTCTCTGAAATTGTTGGTCTCATTGAGGAGCTTTCTCCGTCCCTCTGGGCAACATCTACAGCATAGATTTCAGTATAAAATGAACTTATTTGAATTATCTTTGGATTCTGAGAAGCCTGGAGCTCAGATGAATTGGCAGTTAGCATACACACTATTAGAGACCAAATTTACCAGCAGATAGTCTTAAAAATTAAGTATGTAGTGTTAAGAAGGCTAGATGTTTCGGCAGGAAGACTGCCGTGAAATGTACATTTCGTGATTGGCATCTCCACAAACTCTGCATAACTAAATCAATTAAAAAGATTAAAATTAGATGGGTTTACTGTATTTTGAGTCAAGAGTCACCTATAAACACTTAAGGACGGCAGGTAGCTTCACTAGGGAAATTGTTCTCCATCAAGAGAACACGCAAATAAAGAAAACAAAGGAAAAAATAAGAAAAGAAAGGTTTTCAGGAAGGCAGATCATACTCTGTAGATGGAGGAGTAAAAGTATGTTCGAATTGAGCCTTACACATCATACACCATATATTTTTAGGCTGATGGACAACAGCAGTTCCATGTCTGTACTCATTTTAGCAGAATGCCATGCCACTAATGAGAATATTATCACCATATGTTTAGGAGAGTGAATATCCTGGTCAGATTTTAGACTTACAGGTTCTTAGGTATGATTGTTAACCTTTTTATTGTACACACCAACGTCATCCACTAACTTACAAATAAGAAGTTTAACAATTCGTAGTTTGCTATATCAGTCACACAAAGTTTGAATTTAAGGTGTGATTGTAGATCCCAATGCTTGCGTTGGTATGAACTCATTGTATACGTTGGCATGAAGAACAAAAAGGCGGCAATCCGAATACACCCCGAATTCTCAAATAAGATTAGTTCGATGATTGGCTGAAAGGCATACGAACATATCCTGATGAAGAAGCTTGACAAAAAAATGTAAGCCCTCGAAATCATGCTGATTGCCTGTTAAGTGATATTTTAAAACAACGCGAAGAAAATAAATTACTAGAGACAGAAAACAGAGAAATAGAGGAGAGGTTGAAACTACTAAAGTCCACACTGTATGAAGAAATATCTAAGAGAAATAAATCAAGGTAATGTTTCGCACAACAAGAACTATTAGTATAGTAGTTCTGAATCAATCTGGGATAGTAACCGCTTGGCATCAACGACACATAAACCGAGATCCGATGCTTTGATCGATGTATGAAGATATTTTACTGTATGGTTAATCGTTTTATGTAGGTGAGCAAACTAAGATTTAAAACTCTGAAACGCATCGCAGCTCCCAAAAGTACCTTATTTTTCTGATGTAATGTTTTGAAAGATAAACCTGCAGATAGCTATAGCGAAGTAATACAAAAGGTAGTTGATCTACACAAAAGCTCATCTAGAAGTTCCGTCAATGAAAAACGGAAAAAGTGTGGTCAGTGCGAAGATAGAATAGCGATCGTCGTACGTTATAATATTTTCACGGTTTTTTTTAAGTCATGCCAAGAATGCAGTGAATACTACTGTGCTAAATGCTTCGCAACTTTTCACATGAAAGGAGCCCTTAGGCGACATCACTCAGTACCCATATCAGTAAGCACATTATTTTTTTTCAGTATTTTAGACTCCCACTCCACGATTTGATTCATCCCAGCTTAAGGAGGTCGGTGAGATAAACCTATCGACTAGATCTACTCATTCAGTTAGTACTGTAAGTTTTTCAATTAACAATGCCGATTTCGTGATATTTTTAATTAATACCTGGTGTCCAATCAAAGATTTCTAAGTTCACCCCAGACTTCTCATTGTTAAAACAATCTACAACCTAATTCAGTTTTCATTCGGTTAGGAAGAGCAAAGGCTTTCAGGATACGGTAAACAGAAAATGAAGTGTCCTTAGAAGCGCAGAACAGCAACGGTAAACCAAGCACGCAGATATTTTGCTAAAAGCTTCATTAAGACTGGATCACGGTTTGGTCATTATCTATTCGGATGTTTTTTCAGTCATACAGAATAGTATATGTCAATGCCTAGTAATTGACTAGAAGAACAACAACACAAATTACACTTTTTTTTGTCTTCATAGTCTTACCAGGTTAATATTCCAATTGTTAAAGGTGCAAACCAACTATGTGGTCGTTTGATGGGTTCTCCAGTTAAAATCTCACCGACGATACACTCTGTATTTAAGAAATCATCTCAAAAGCACCAACACCCATTCAATGATTTACATGCAGCTGTGCGACACGTCTAAAATAGACACCGTAAATGTTGAGCAAATTCAGCGAAAGATTAGTTTTAAATCTACTGATTAAATATTGTAAAGATTTAAGGCCTGAACACTATTCAAGCAGCCAAAGAAGCATTTATTTAGTAATCTTTACTTTTCGAATATAATGTAACTGATATCAATATGTGGTAGAAATTCCAAGCAAATTCTAAATATTTGGTAAGATGATGCACCTTATGGAAACCATGCTCAAGTTTTAATTTAATTAAAACTACCTGATTTCTATACACAGGGTTGTCAAAGTTCTCTTGGTATTACAAATAAGTCAAGCTCAGCACTACAAACAGAAGATATAGATGGTTTAGAGGGAAATCAATGCTTTGACAATAAGCGATTGCAAGCGGAATCGAAAAAATCTTCAACAGTAATATCTGGCCATAATGTTTCAACCTTGTGCAAATCCCCAACTCCTATAGAAATACACTTCACACCGAGTATAAGTTATGCGGAAAAATTACTGCTACATCTGCATCGTAACTCCAAACTTCAACACCCAGGAAACCAAAGCAGTACACATCATCAAATTATATCTGGAGAAGCTATTTTAGCAAACACTGTGGATGGTAGGTTATATCTTACGGTGAATATGTAAATACAGTAATGTCATCAGCTTTAATTCCACTGAGTTGTTCTGAAGTTATTTTGTCATTATTATTATTATTATCATTACTACTATTATGACTAATTGCACAATTTATATTCACCATCGTATTATCCTATAGACAAAACACCATGATTGGTTTATATTTTATTTTATTTGTAAACTTATATATATTAGAGTTAAGCCTGATGAGATTTAATTGAAAACAATATTGTTCGCTTAAATGTGTTGTTCTAAATCGAAACGTAGCTGGGGATAAGATACCTAGCGAAAAAGTGCCATCAGACTGCGTCTACTTTGCATCTGCACGACAGCAGTTACAGGACAGTTATGGCCGTATTAGTCGAGTGAAATAGAGCCCTGCTCCATCTATTCATTCTATGGGATTAGTATCATTTACACATTATTAGAATCCATTTCTTGAATTCTTGTCAAACGGCACTCAGAATATTGAAACAACTACTCCCTGACGTAAAAGCTCACAGTGTGAGCAGCAGTTAACCATTTGTTGCCCTTCTTTAAAACAGAAGGATAAGAACATGTTGTGAGAAGACTTGTCTTGTCAACGTCTGCAGTGATGGTGAACACAGGTATTTTTAATCCATACAACTTTCGATCACAACTTTTTGGAGGTTAAATGCAACCAAAACATGACCTATTCATGAGTCCTTTAACTCAGTTTGTCGAATATCGGAAAGATAAACTGTAGACTTATGATATGCAAGGCCTTTGCTACATGATGTATCTATTCTGCTTCGATATATTAGCAGTGCATATACAAGACCCCGTAAGGGATTGAACCCACAGCTTTCAGATTATGAGATCAAGCTTGTTGACAGCTGCTGACCATTGGTGAAGAGTCCAAACCCGAGATGAAATTTCTGTCCAATGTCCGGTAATTTTGAACGATCTCCAACTGATGTTGCTCCGTGACGACATCTTCACTGAAATTAGACAGTTATTTTTAATTAAAACAATATTTTTAGTAATAATAGATAAGTTCAGCCAAATAAAAAGAAGTTATTGTATATTCGTCTTAGCAGATAGATTGAATTGCATAATTAAAGGTCTTTGATCAACACTAATAATTCGAATATTTCTGAATTGTTGAGTAACAAGTGTTGACGATTATTACCATCATTATTCCCTTGGGTTCGGAATGCTGCAGCACGCCACCATTTCATTTCGCTGTCTGCGGTTTTTATTAACCGATTCCACGACTTCTCCCTAGAACCACAGTCTACTTCATCCCATAACCATCCATAAATGCCTGAATACTTTTAAACCTTATTCATTTATATTAATGACACAGTATATTGTTGGATGATTTCACTAGGAGAAGGTAATTTGATTTCTTAACAACGCCCATTTCCTTGGCTTTTAGCTTTAATATAAAAAAGAACCTTATAAATCGATCACCCGACCGAAAGCTGCTACCTTGACGTGGTGGTTGGGCTTGAACACTGCAATGACCCAACAAGCTATACTGGCTGGAACTTATGTTCCTGCAGGTCCTACCATGCCAGAAAGGTTGCTTGGATAGCAGTTAGACTAAAAGCAGTTATCCAATCCAATCCTATGATTTCAAATATATCACAAAATATCATGCCGGATCGGTCGGGGCCCGGATTAACAACGACCGCGCTTTCTGCTGCCGTGTCACAGGGCAGAAGTGATAAATACGCTACTGAGACACACCAAATAAAAAAGAACAAACAAAAACAGGCCGTGTGTGACCGGCCTCAAGCAGTTGTCCCCTGGGCTTTGCGGTCACGCAACCAACTTCCACGGTGTGGGCAGCCGGGAAGTAACAATCGCCCTCACAATCCGAAGTGCACGCGAAACCCCTCTAATCCTCGCTCATCTTTGTCTTCATCTTCATCTCTGTTATCTTGCCTTCCTCCTACCAATGCAACTCCTCTACTTGATGGCTCTTCACTTCCTCTTCGATCTGTGTGCACTGACAACGATGGAAGCCAAAAAGCCACCACCGATTGTCTCCTAAAACCACGCCACCAATTTTATATAGGAGCATTTAATGTTAGGACACTTTGCCAAATAGGACAACAAGCATCACTAGCCAAGACTCTGGCATCCCGAGCCATTGATGTATGTTGTGTTTCAGAAACACGCATACAAGACCCAAGTGTGGTTATTCACCTAACCCCACCTGGCCAACAGGATGAATCTGCAAAATTCACCTTGAGGGTGTCAGGAGATGCGACGGCTAGCTCACGAGGATTAGCTGGTGTTGGGATAGCTTTAAGTACTAGAGCAGAAAAGACATTACTTGACTGGATCCCGGTAGATAGCCGAATGTGCGCTGTCCGCCTGAACGGATCAGTGAAAAGGAGAAAGGACTGCACTACTCGCCGATGCCTTTTCGTAATCTCCGCCTACGCCCCCACTGACTGCAGTTCGGATGAAACGAAGGATGAGTTCTACCAAAAGCTGTCTAGTTTGCTGCAAAAGGCTAGACGCTCAGATATAGTCGTTATAGCTGGTGACTTTAATGCTCAAGTAGGGAAATTGTGTCAATCTGAGAAGAATGTTGGTGGCACATACGGAATTCCGTGCCAGCGAACCGACAACGGTGACCGTCTCCTACAGTTCTGTTCAGATAATCATTTGTATCTTGTAAGCACTAACTTCAAACACAAGGAGAGACACTGTCTGACCTGGCGACCCCCATCATCAAATCAACGCTGGACACAAATAGACCACATAGCAATAAGCTATCGTTGGCGTGGGTCGGTAAGGGATTGTCGCTCCTTCTGGAACACGTGTGTAGATACCGATCACGCACTGGTCCGCGCTCGTGTGTGCTTACGACTGAACGGACGTAGGAAACAGCGAGCGGTAAACCCATCACGTCCCCAACTCGACCAGGGAACTAAGTCCCTATTTGAGGAAGAACTAGCTAAACACATATCTGAGTTTGACAGCTGCGCTCACCCTGAAGAAGCCTGGAAGAATATTCAGTCAGCCATAGATACAGCTGTAAAAGCTGTGAATAAAGTAATTCCAAAGATGAGTAAAAACCACTGGATTTCGACTGCCTCATCCGAACTGATAGATGCTAGAAGACTTATTCCGGCGAGCTCCGAATTCAATGAGGAGCGAAAGCTGCACAAGAGGAAACTTACGAAAAGTCTCCGCAAGGACCGTGAACAGTGGTGGTTGACAAAGGCGAAAGAGATGGAAAAAGCATCGGCGATAGGCAACACCAGACAACTATTCAGGCTTATCAGGGAAACAGGTGGTAAAAAACAAATGATAAGCGAAACAATCTCCGAGAAAAATGGCACCATAATTAGCTCCCAAGATAGACGTCTGGAGCGCTGGAAAGAACACTATGAGGAGCAGTTTAATTGGCCCACAGCCACACTTAACCTACCGGACATCCAACACCTCCCTGAATGGGAGATAGACACAGGTCCTCCGTCCTTAACCGAGGTTACTGAAGCTGTCACCAATCTGAAGCAAGGCAAAGCAGCGGGACCTGATTTATTGACTCCAGAGGTATTTAAGTACGGAGGCGACAGTTTACTGTCTGCGTTAACGGAGGTTCTAGGCAGCGTCTGGGAATCAGAGGAAGTCCCATCGGGTTGGTGTAAGTCACTGATCATCCCGATATACAAGAAGGGGGACAAGTCGTCTTGTGATAATCACAGAGGGATTAGCTTGATTAATATAGTATCTAAAATCCTAGGCTCAATAATACTGCGTAGATTAAGTGGTGCTCGGGAGACACAAACACGAGAAAACCAGGCAGGTTTTAGGCCAGGTAGAGGGTGTATTGATCACATCTTCACCCTTCGACAGATTCTAGAACATAGGCATTCCTACCGGCGTCCGACAATCATTATATTTCTTGACCTAAAGGCGGCATTCGATTCTGTCGACCGGGAGGTTCTCTGGCGATGCTTGGCTGTAAAGGGAATGCCAAGAAAATACATTGCACTGATTAAGGCACTCTACTCGTACTCATGCAGCCAGGTGAGGGCTTATGGCGAGTTGTCATCTGAAGTGGTGACGACTAGTGGCGTCCGTCAAGGATGCCCATTATCCCCATTCCTATTCAATTTCATCATAGATGTACTAATGGACTTAACCCTAACTCACTTCAGCGACTCAGGGATTGACTTGCTACCAGGGAATAATCTCGTTGACTTAGAATATGCGGACGATATAGTCCTTCTAGGCGAGGACTCTGGCAAAATGCAGAGTCTACTGAACACCCTGAGCAACAATCTCCGCATGTTTGGCATGCGATTCGCCCCTATAAAATGTAAGATGATGCTGCAGGATTGGACTTCATCGACCCCTAGATTAGAAATAGGAAGTGAAGTGGTAGAACACGTTGACCGCTTCACTTACTTGGGAAGTACCATCAGCCCCAACGGGTTGATCTCCGACGAAATTTCAGCACGAATACAGAGGGCTAGGTTCGCATTCGCCAGTTTTCGCCGTCTCTGGCGTAGACGCGATATCCGACTATCGACCAAAGGGCGTGTGTACTGCTCAACAGTCCGCTCCGTCCTCCTTTATGGCTGTGAGACCTGGCCATTGAGAGCAGAAGACATGAAAAGATTAGCTGTCTTCGATCATAGGTGTCTGCGTTCTATCTCCCGCGTGAAGTGGTATAATAAGGTGAGCAATATTGAGGTTAGGCGTCGAGTGCTAGGTAAGGCGGGGAAATCAATCGACGAGACTGTGAAATTACTTCGACTGAGATGGTTAGGACATGTGCTACGTATGCCTAGTCATCGCCTTCCTCGACGGGCAATGTTAGCTGATATAGGGTCAGGCTGGAAAAGAGCTAGCGGCGGTCAAACCAAAACATGGCACCAATCAATGAAATCCACAACAGTTAGTCTAAGCCACGTAGGAAGATGTAGACTTCCTGGTTGGGGCCCTCGGGATGGTAAAAACCAATGGTTGGAAACAATTGGTGACATGGCTCAAAATCGTTCTCAGTGGCGCAGATGCATCCACTCCTTGTGACTTATGATTTCCAATCAAACTGTTTTGTTCTCCGTTATTACTATTCCTTTGTCTCACACCTCTGTTTACTGTCTATATTATGCATTTCTTCTACTTTCTTCTCTTGCTTTGCGTGCTACATAGATTGTGGCGACTTGAACTGCCGCACATATGTGCAAAGTTCTATGTCGAAAACCGACCGACCGACCGACCGACTGCCCATAAGCTTTCATTTTCCATTTACATGACCTTCTCAATGTCATCGTTGGACACAAGTCTAAGTTGTTGTTTTCTTGTGAAGTTCCGCTCAATGGTCTAAAAGGCGTATGACGTCACTCAAAGGTCTCTTCAGCGTTTGTTCGATTCATCTCTATTTCCTTCTGTATATATGCTAATGCATAGATGTTAACTATTATGTATCAACAATGTTGCCATTGAATAAAAACTTGACTTTCACTCTCTTGTTATCATTTTCCAATTATTGAATTGGTAAGAAACTCAAAAACAGGAGGAAGACAACGAAGAAGAAGAACGTATCATGCAAGATTTTCAACTTAATAGAATTTCTTTCGATGAATTACACCAGTTGGCTACTATGAAAATGCAGCTCAATGATACTTTGGCTCTCTATCCTGTAGAAGACTTGGAACCAGTATCCTTCGAAAGAAATGAGGTACTTTTACTGACTTGTTCTTACAATGATTAGCTTACTGATATATTATTTATGAAAAAAATCATAAATAATTTTTATGTGTTATAGATTATGAACTCTAAAGACGATGATAAACTCAAAGGAAATAACTTCGATGAAAAACCACTGATTAGTGAAACCTTTTCTTCCGAGGATAATTTAAGTGAAGTCACTGAGGCCTTCAAAGCAGAACAATATCCTAAGTAAGTTTTATGATATGTTGTTAGTAGTATATCATTAAGTCTATGGCCTAATGTATACAGACTGAGTGTATCTGTTAATGATTCCATTGAAAACGTTCGTAGTTTCTTAATTTGCAATAAAACTCAATTATTAATTGACTAGAATAACTTTTACCTACTGGTAAATATGAGTGTGCTAAGTGTGTTTAAATCATTGAATATTGAGTCCAAATGCAACGTATAAACGCCATAATCAGTTGACAAGTTCCGATATCCGCCAACTGAAATCTGTTAATGAGATAATGTGTAAATTGCCCGCACTAGATCACTGGCCTGACGCCTACACGCCTGTTGTCAGTTGACATACTTTTGACTAGTAGATTTCAATTGGCTGACATCACAACCTTCATCCTCTGTCCTACTTGAATGAAGGTGCATTTAAATTTAGAAGTTTGGTTTCAAGAAGATTTGACACAAATCCATACTTTAGTTGTGGTTAGAGCTTTCTGCTAGCCAAAATTGGTAGACAGCAATTTAAGTCATTGTTTACGTCCCAAATCGGGGTCATGAGAAAAAGCAAGAACAAAGCCTAACCTTGAGGAACTCAACAACCAATCACAGCAGACTTAGAGTGGGCGGATACGATTCGCAGATAAATCACCGGACTGTCTGAGAAATGGCAACAAACGGATGACAGAATAAGCTTCAGCAGGAAAACAACCAATCAGAAAACGTTGCTTCTCTGCTAACAATAACGAATAATATGTACGTAAAAACCTATAAATATCTGTAAATTCTCTGAATAAACGATCTGTTGCCTGGCCCTTGTCTTCTGTCGTTACATAGTTATATTGTGAATACTAAATGCTATTTCACTATATTATTGTTTCTTAAAAGAATCCAGGTAAGAAGTTTGAATTTCAGGATTCCTTGCATGGATGCCTTACTAAATTCGTCATCTTGAGTAGTTGTCAAGCGGAACAATTAGTTGTTTTTGTTGAAGAAACTGATACAAATGTACATGGATAAATAGTAATTCTGGTCTAAAGTAGTATTACAGCCATAAATCGAATTCAGGGTTTTCAAATTAATTCTCACTTTACTCAGTTCAAGGTGATTATATCACCATAGTTTCTTTTAGAAACCGAGATTATTTAGATCACAGTATTTGATCTGCACGAAATCATGAGTGGCAATCAAGAAAGCAAGCATAAATGCATGATACTACATAATTCTCATTGATTGAGATGAGTTGTTGGATCCCAAACAAATCAACCAGTAGTGCTTGTGATCCAGATCTACATGATCTAAACACCGGACAGCCGTTTCACTCCTTCAAAGCTGACCTCATCAGTTGACTCAACTCAGAGAGCTGAATCACTTCAAACCACCTGGTTTCTAGCTGGTTACTTGGGTGAACTGGTTTATGCGAGTGGTATAAAACTGGGTCTAACCGGATACATCATTGATCAGCTCGGTGTCAGACAGGCGAAACGGCTGTCCAGTGTTTAGATCCCTTCGTTATGGCTAGCATACACTATTGGTTGATGTGAGTGATATGCAACTACTCATCTCGATCAATCAGTAGTATATAGTTTTAAGTATTACAGCCAGTTACCATACCATTCAGGTTTGCAATATGGATTTAAAACATTGACTATCATACTTTTAAACAAAAAAACTGTTTGAATTTTAATGAACTTTTGACGAAACTTATATTAGTCCTTATGAAAAGTATTATATTTAAGTTCAAGACATTGAATTAAGTAAATTGTTGCAGTCAACCTTGTAGCGGTAAATAATTCCCCAAAATTATTGACGACAGCAATCATCACTCAACATTGGATGCTGACCCTCACTGTTTAAGTCGACTTGTTTAGCTGAAGGCTTCCGGTCAAGCATCCAGGTCATTTGGTACTCCGTCGTGTCACGTGCGTGCATGATCACTGGCCAGCTAAGCATTCACTTCAACCCGCGATTTGGTCCCGAAATATATCTCGTACTTTGGACGATCAATCTTGCCTTTTGCTTTGTCTTTGGTACACGAGAAACAAATACTATACGCCGTACAATTCACGAAGGTCGATACCGTCAGCCTCTAAAACCTCAGTTCATAACCAATATCAACAAACGGGAATCATCAGTTAGTGGGAATAAACTGTTTATAAAGATGTGTGACTAAAGGCTCTATAAAAGACTATTCAAATCTCTCAAATACGAAAAATTGATCATAGTAGTTTCTATATTATCCAGAAGGTATATTTCATCTTATTGAAGACTTATCAGCTGAAAGGAATTTGTATTGGGGTAAAAAATTGGCACTGCTGGCCAATATCTGATAAGTATTATCAAAAATGACAAAATGGATTACAACACTGAAGCTAGTGAAAAAGATGCAGATATGCCAGTAGAGCCTTATTTACATTTTTTTAAAACTACATGTGTAGGCTTAAATGTGCTTTATCAGCATGCAAAAATTTTAAAGTGAAACATTTGACAGCTGTGAAAAGAGACAGTGAAGAAAAGTTCAACAATGTACACTGTAAAATAAAAACAGTACAAAATTGATGATCTTTATGATATTTTGAATAATAATCAATGTTTCTTATTCCTTTGTTTTCCAAATGCAACATGGGCTTTCAGGCCTGTGCTCTGAAGTTTCAGTAGCAGTGACAATCGTTTTACAAGGAGGGATTGCTGACTTTACTTTACACCCAGTCTTCCCTCTTTACCGGGCTTACTACCGCTTATGCGAGGCTAAGGAGTGTGTCAGCCATGAATCGAAACTGAACCAGGTGTGCCGCGGTTGGTAAATATTCCAACATTGAACAACCGACGTGCTAAGAATTATCCATTAGGCTAAAAGAGCTCTGTCAATGAGTTTATTCCTTTCAGGAGAATATCTATCTAAATTGTTCGGAAAAAGACAACATCATTTCCTAATCTATATATTTCATGATTTCTCTTCGTGAAATACGCCGAGATCCGGATAACTGGCTGATGCATCCAACTTTCTGCCCAATGGGCTCTGAGTTCGAATTCCTCCTTGCCTACTTCAGCTTTGGTAGCCGGGTAGTATCATTAGACTTCAAATAGTAATTGTGTAGCTTGGTATGTGGAAAACCGACTCCAGGGAAATTGTGTTCAAAACGAATTTCATAAAATATGAAATTTAATGAGATATAGTTAACTGAACATTAAAATGCTTCACAGTTTTTGGAATGATTTATTCTTTACAGATCCAAGTCTACAGAAGAAGAAAAAGAAGTAGCAGTAGTGAACAGAAATAAGGAAGCAAGTAAGTCAGTTTTTAAAATGCTTTAAATGTCTACATTAATCATAAGATTATTTTGGGTAAATAAAGAGGAAAATAATTTTTGCTTAAAAAATGAAAGATCTGTATAAAAAAGTCCATTTGCTATCATAGCTACTGAAGATTTTGAAAATATTCAGATGCACAATTAACAGTGTAGATGCCAGTGTGTAGAGAGATTGGGTATCTTCATGAAGCCAATTTCAAACACGTCTAAATCATGGAAAGAATGTTGATCGAATCGTATAAGAATATTCCTTCTAAACAACTTTTTCTGTTCAACAAACCAAGTGACTTTGGATTATTGATATCTACAAAACAGCAGTAATGTCTGTTTAAACAATCAAATGAGTAATAATAAAGTAAAGTAGGGAGTTACAGGTGAGAAAAATAGATCCACTTTTGAAGTTGTCTATCCATATTGACTGACAATAATAAAGTAAGTTAAAGGACCACTGGAAAACCTGGGAGTACTGGACAGCTGTTTCGTCCTAGTTTGGGACTCTTCGGTGGTACTCACCCACTGGGGTTCGAACCCAAACTAGGACGAAACAGCTAGCTGTCCAGTGCTCCCAGATTTTCCAGTGGTTCTTTAACTCATGTCAGCTCATGATGAAATCCTCCATCCAATCAAACAAAATCCCCACAAAACCAATACTTGAAAATAAAGTGTTAAAGATTCTGACTGAGTACTTATTCTAACATAAAGTGATTTTCAAGATGAAATTAAACTGACGTTATATGCTAGAAGTGATAAGAGTATGGCACGAAGTGAATTTGTTAAGCCATAGATTCTTAACACGTTTGTTACACTCAATACTATGACTAATTCCTTAAATAATCATAACATTATTTCTGTTGAAGAAACTTTTGGTTGTGCAGGGAAAAATTGAGAAAAGCCGTATTTTCACTTTCTATTTACTCTTAGGTTATTATAAATAATGTCACCCCTATTCAGTCAGACTCACTGCTAAAAGTATTTAAGGATACTCCCAAATTTCTGCTTCAGATACTTGTACATTTAGGCAAAGTTTTCAAATAATAGTCACTGAAACCTTAAGTAAGGGTTTAAAAATTGGTTAGAGGAATTTTTATCTACTGGCGTCTTTCTACTCTCCATCTCTCAGTTTAAGGCTAAAATTTTCTCTCCCAAATTATTGATTATTTTCATAATAAGTGAATTCATATCTTAACCGGAAAGGATTTTTAGTTTCACTTTCACTTTTTTGTGGTCACTGTGGTTTCTAGTGTCCATTTAACAGATTTAATTTTATCATCAATATATTTACAAGTCTTCAGGTCTAATAATCAAAACGAAAGGCATCTTGATGGGATCGGATGCTAAGTTGAATTCACCAAAAGAAGCCTTTTCAAATAAATAATATACATTATCTTCAATGTAATTTCATAGAATGTAATTCAGCTGAAAGATTAACGAAAGTGCAACGAATTAAGTAATCTGAGACTATGTAATATGTTAAGGGATAGTTCCTTGACAACAAATGTTTGCTTTCTGTACCTCGTGTTATAGTAGTATAATGTAATTAGTAATATTGAGGTTAGACGCCGAGTGTTAGGTAAGGAGAGCAAACCAATCGATAAGGTTATGATGCTACATCGAATGAAGTCACTAAGACACGTGTGAGGCATACCAAGCCACTGTCTTCCTCGTCAAGCAACCCTAACTGACACAGAAATAAGTTGGAAAAGAGTTAGAGGTAGTCAAACCAAACTAAGGCATCAAATCCTTTTAGTCTTTAACCCTAACCACGTGGGGAGATGCTGACGGCCTAGTTGGAGTCCTTGGTATGCTAAAAACTAATAGCTTGACATTTTCGATGTTGCGGCGTAATGGCGCAGATTCATTCTGTTTTCGTTATCTCTCAAATCCATTAAGATTTTATATTTTTCCATTTTACACTTTTTGTCTATTATAGTTCTTTCGAATTTTTCCTTTCTTTTCTATGCCTTAATGTGTTAATTGAAGTGTAACAACTGGAAATGCTGCAGTTTTCTGCAAAGTTCTAATTGAAACTGAGTCAATCAGTTAGTTAAGGGATTATATAATATTTGCCACATAATTGACTATTTTTTCCTAAAGCGAGAATCGGCAAAGCAAGGCAAGCTTTCATTTCTCTCAAGTCTGTGTGGAGATCGACAGCACTCCTCAGAATGAAAAATAAGATCCGGATTTTCAACTCTAATGTGAAGTCAGTGCTACTTTCTATGCGGATCAGAGACTTGGCGCCTCGTCACGAAGGACACTTCGAACAAACTACAGACCTTCGCTCAATACTACTCAAGATCAGATGGCCGGCCAGAAAATATCGGCAACAGGGATGGATCTCTGGGAGCGAGCCAATTTAGCAGGAACCGATTGCGCAAGAAATATGCAGGAAGAAATGGAGGTGGATTGGCCATATTCTGAGGAAACCAACCATCAAGTGACATCATATGCCAGGCCATTGCTCAAGTGGAACCCGAATGGGAAGAGGCGAGTTGGTCGTCATTGAGAGGGTGACATAGAGGATGTTATGCAAAGAGGAGTTGAAAGCATGTGGGCAGACGTGGAGCCAGGTGAAAGCGTTAGCAGAGAACCGAATGCAGTGGAGACTTGTGGCTGAAGCCCTAGGTTCCTCTAGGAATCAAAGGAAACAATAACATAATAATAATCTATCAAATAAAGATATTTAATACAAAAGAAAAGTTTAACTAGTACTAACAGTATAATGCTGACTGATCTCATTTTAAATATTAGAAGGGGATGGTTTGTACAAATAAAAACATTATGAATTACTATACAAAGTGCTAAGGCTAGTACAATAAGTCTGGAAGTTGACATATATGAGTGAAAAACTCTAATGAAAACCGTAAGAAACACCATTTTACCTCAAGATTACAATGAACCCCAGTTTAAAGGTGAAGTCGAATTCCTGATTTCCTAAATAGTTTAGGCATATAACTTTGATATATTTATCTATGTACTCGGCTTTGAGCTGAAGGAAAGTTGTCCAGATTATATGAGTAACCTTCAAATCAAACGTGAGACCCTTTGTCAAATTTATAAATATGCATGTTTTTGCAGTACTATTTGATTTTGATTTCAAGTCATCATATTTTCAAAACCCCTTTCTCCATTAAAATCCTGAATGAAGCAAATGTTAATAAACAGTCGAAATTTAGAAACTAAAATGAATCACCTGGTACATTTTCATCATCATTTGAATGCAAATTTTTATTATTCTCTTGGAATCCAAATGGAATATAGGGCTTCGGCAGGATATCTCTATTTTATCCTCTTCTCTATTGTCTTTACTAATCGGCTGCATGAGTGTCGACAAGTTTTCATTTTCTACTGACACGATCTCTTTTATGTCACCGCTGAACATACGTCAAACTTGTCTCTTTCTATTAGGATTCCAGCCAACCGTCTCCTCAGAGTATTTTCAGTCCATTGCACAATGCATACTTGATAGGTGATAGGTTCTTGGTTGGTTCATCAGTAGAATTCCTGGTTACTTATGCTTTCCAGCTGATTATCTGAACTTCAGTAACAAGGTACCGAAATTAGCAGTTGATAAAAGTCTGAATTAGTATCATCTCCATCATTTCCTGTTGTCTGAAGTCCTCTTCAGCTGACCCCACGACTGCTCATAAGCTTTCATCTCTGCATTAGCCTGTAGGAAATGTCTTCCTTGAAATGCACACCGTGTGAATTATATGGAAGCAATGATTTGAAATTAGTGTGGAAAATTCAAATCTGGTTCCTTTTACTGATTACAGCAGATTTCCATACTGATTATAAAGCAACGAAGGTTCACTTTGCTTTTCTGATACTGGCAGGTTCTGACATTCTCATCTGTGCCCCTTGTAGTTGAAACAATCCTGCCTAAATAAGTGAGTGGAGTGACTTCTTGTCTTTCACACTCCATTGGAAACTGATAAAATAAACTTAATGCCTTTTCATCATCTTTCTCTTGTATATTTAAGTCAATTCCATCAGGAATCAAAAATACGTCAACAGATTTCTGTCTACATAAGTACATCAAGTGATTCATCTGTCCAAATTAAACCCATCATTAGATTTTATCATTGTCATTGCCTTGAATTACCCTGAGGTTTGTGTATTATTTTGTCGGGTACTTGTTTATCAATCGACTGTACCTAAAAAATAATTTGTTCAGACTGTCTTTCACATAAATCAAAGTGACCACATCCTGTATACCGGCATTTTCTACGGTGAATTTTCTATACAATAATTTTGTTTAAGTCATTACCAGTAGATGGTTAGAATGCTTCTTTTGAATTGAATCATGATGACAACACTACATCATCTTAACACATTATTTCTTGAAGTGACTTGCAGCGGAATTCAAGATACTCATTTCATCTCCTTTGGGACTCGTCACTGAGGTACCTGCAGCCTTCAGTGAGTGGTGATGTTCCAACTGAGACTCTAACCCTACACCCATCAATCTAAATGCCAAATGACTAAATGTCCACCTTAGATTCCACTGCTATTCACCAGCAATCAAAGTAACATCTTGTTAGTCCTCTGACTTCATCCAGGCGTCCATAGTAGGTGCGGACATGTCAAAAGAAACCGAATACGTTCATTCAGTGGAATCCATCAGCAGGAAATAGAAAATAAACCAAAGCATAATAACTATTAATACAAATTATTGAAACTTAAACTCTACAAACAAACAACTCATCGATGTTTGACTTTAACAAAATCCTTATTTGTTTTCATGGAAATAACCGAATGTTTTGTATTTTAAACTAAAGGCATTTTAAATAGTCCATACAATTTGTGGCAACCTGGAAGATCAGTTTATTCTCCTGATTCTTGTATGGATTCTGATGTAAACAAAACAGTTGCTGAATACTTAAATATGATTTTAGACGAGAAGTCAGTCAATAAAACTGAAGTTGAAGATGATTATCATGAACAGTTCAGAAATACAACAGAATCACCAATTCAGTCTCAAAAGACACCATCGTAAGTTCAGCTTATAGCTGTATAATGTAAAATGTATTCAGTTGTCGTTTCGATATATATATAATTTTAAATATGTGATAACATATATTCCTCGCAGCAATGTGAATTGATACACTGTCTATCCTTTATTGACATTATTTCCAAATGAATTTGTCAGAAACAAAATGCCGCGAAATTAGTTGTATTCTCTGAGCTGTTGGTCAGAGAGCACAACTAATTCCAAATCTACGAGCTCACCTTGTAACCAGAAGGTCCTGGGTTCGAATCCCGGTGGATGCGTACCGATGAAGAGTCCCAAACTGGGACGAAACAGCTGTCCAGTAGTCCCAGGTTTTCCAGTGGTTCTCTAACTGATGTCAGCTCATGATGAAATCCTTCATCCAATCAAACAAAATCCCTACAAAACCAATACTTGATAATTCCAAATCATCCACCTGAGCTACAAATCTCCTCTATCATTACAAAATGCCATTTCATGTCATGATAAGTCGGGTGAGTATATAAGTTATCTCCAAAGAAACTAACCTCCTTTTTGTTTCCGCCTAAGTGAATAGATAGAACAAAGGCTATTCAATTACGATTAAATCCCTTGAGGTAGTTGATCTTATGTGATTTTGTCTTGCGTGCTCAGAAGAATGATGTAATCATATTAGTTGTTACCTTTGACCGTTTTAAAGATGTTTGATCGACATTTTTACACAACCGGAATACTGGTTTTGGAGTTTGTCATATTGTATGCGAAAACCCCCTGCGTTTACTTTCATCCTCACCTGATAAGTCACTTAAATAGCTTTTAAAACAAAAATTTTTACGTAAAATTACACTATTCAATTTAATAAGCTTACAGTCTGTTCAATATCTAGCAAAAAATGCTGTATTTGGTATAAGATGGAATCTCGGATAGTAGCTGCTACCTCGAACAAGCGACTAGACCTGAACACAGGAATTATGGGACGTCCTATACTGTCTAAAAAGGATTTTCCTGGAAATCCTAGTATTCTAGAAAAATTTATTAGATAACCATGAGATTGAAAACAGTCTCACCTATGTTAGATGGTGTAGACTGCCTAGTCGGGGAATTATTTTGTAAACATAGGTGGACTGGTTAAAAATGTGTGAAAAAAAGGTAGTTTCCTTACTCATACGGGGGCCGTGGAGAAAAGTGGTGATTCGTTAGCTGAAAACTTGGAGAAAATTGTAGAAAGTGGGTCTATTAGGTTACATTACAGTCACTTTTTGTCCATGCCTCATCCACTCAAATCACCTAACGCAATGATAAAATAAAAACAAGTTTTTTTTCAATGCTTATCAAGAATTCTGATTAACTCTTTATTTGAGCTTGATGCTATGGACAAATCAACAAATGCCTACTATTCTTTATAATCTCCTGATGAATAGAGTGGTAAAATATACCAAGACATGGACAAACTTATGAACATTAAATATAAATGTTTTTAAGTGTTGGTTTGTAGGGATTTGATTGGTTGCAGGATTTCATCATGAGCTAACATTAGTTAGAGAGCCATTGGAAAACCTGGGAGTACTGGACAGTTGTTTCGTTCTAGTTTGGGACTCTTCATCAATAGGCACCCACCGGGATTTGAACCCGTGACCTACTGGTTAAAAGGCGAGCTCATAGACTATTAGGCGACTGGGACCCGATCCAATGGCCAGTGCATGAATTCTAACCTCTGCCAATTCACAACATAGCGCGACCGCTAGCCAATGTCTTTGGCGAGTATTCTTCCTCACACCCGACCTTCTGCACCCTACTGGTCACGACTTCCCACTAGAACCCACGTGACTACCTAACTGAATAGGGCAACTCGCTAGTGAGCATCTCATCGATACATTTTAATGTATACGCCGTATGTTATTTCATGTCTTCTGCTTTCATGGGAAAACACATTGAACGAACTGTCTCAGCCTTCTGATAGAATGTAAGTGTAGAATATTTTCTGATTAAAAACTTTTGTAGTGTAATAAACATGAGTACTAGTGCCTACGTAATAGTAAAGCATTTTGAAGGGGGCTACGCTTTCTACAAATACCAATAAAAATAAAGAATTGTAAAAGAGCTCGTAGACCATTGAGTCACTGGGACCCGATCCAATGGTCCATGAATTCTAACTTCTGCCAATTCACGGCTAGGGTTCACGCTATGTCGTGAAGGTCACGGGTTCAAATCCCGGTGGGTGCCTACTGATGAAGAGTCTCAAACTAGGACGAAACAACTGTCCAGTACTCCCAGGTTTTCCAATGGCTCTCTAACTAATGTCAGCTTATGATGAAATCCTGTTATAAATATTTTCATTCTGTAAATAGTAACAATTAATTTAATACATCCTCAGTATATATTGGCATCATTATTTATTAAAGGAGATTACTTTTTGTAAATTCTGTAAAACTTTTGCTCAGTTTTTTGATAGTTAAAGTTTGTTTTAAAAGGTTTTACATAAACAGACCACAAAGTAAACAACCGTTATTAAATAATATAAATTTCATGATCTCAATCGTTGATGACTAATTCCAATTTCATAGTTTAAATTATGATTGAATATTTACACCATTCTGATAAAATAATATTGAAATGCATGTTTTGTCGATCAGTAAATGTCTGATTCATTCATAATAAAGCATGCTTCATTTCCATATATATATATATATATATATATATATATATATATAACTGTTAGATGACGGGAGGCAATCGACAGGAAGCCTTGGACCTGTGCTTCACGTTTGTTGGCTCACGTCAGTTAGGCATACCTGTAATCTTAAAGGAACTCATATCAATTCTGAGATTAGAAGCTTGGTCACTCAGTCCTGTAGTCAGAGACATCACTACTGTGCTATTCGGTCTCGCGATTGACCTCCTATAGAATTGTAACAGGTACTTCAATTGGACACTAGTCAATAACTGATATCATGAGTGTAGTGCTTCGTTTAGTGTAAAGTGAATTCTATCAGACAATTTTACAATATGACAATCATGCTAGGTGGCTAACCGTCACGGTGCAGTCCGCATGTAATGAAGGACTACATGCATGACATTAGTTACTAACTAACATCCAATATATATATATATATATATATATATATATATATATACAATTTACCTGAGTAGCTGACCAGAAATCAAGTGGTTTGAACTTACTTTGATCTCTGAGTTGAGTCAGACTGAGTACACATCTGAAAGAAACCCCCGCCCTGTGTTTAAATCACTTAGATCTGGGTAGCAAACACTACTCGTCGGAATGAGTGGTGTCCAGCTACTCATATCAATTGATCAGTAGTATATAGATAGTATCCTACATTTATGCTTTCTGTCTTGATTTCTATTTATACTAACAAACAGATCACCATTTTGTGGTCTCAATAATTTCCATTTCCAAAGGAAATTAAGGTGAAATTTCAGCTTGAACTCAGTAAAATGCAATCCATCTCAAAAATATCTATATTTAACAGTTTTTAAAAGTTAATCATATAGCTGTTTATATGTATGTTTTTTCTCTTAATCTAGAATGACTCATCGTTGTAAGAATACTTCAAAAACAGGAAATGTAGAAGTTACGAATGAAGAATACGATAGTGAAGACGATAATAACTACAACTCTCTGTATGATTCACTTGGATAAGAATGAAATTTAAGAAAAAAAGTAATGATAATGTAATTATATGTGTACACGGATGATATCTGTAGATAATTTGTTTCACAACAAATTCGAATATTTCTCATTCTATTCAAAATAAACGTACGATAAATAATTTCTTCTCTGAACTTACACTTTTACCCTTCAAAAGAAATGGAAAGAAATAAGAGTTTCCATTCACGAAGAGGTTATGTGGTTTATTTTATCAATCCACAAGTATCAAGTATTGGTTTGCAGAAAGTTTGATCACTAGCTGACTGACGAAGAGCCACAAACTAGGATGAAATGGCTTTTCAATACTCTCAGGTTTATCAGTGGTTCTCTAACTGATGTCAAATTGTGATCATACTTTTAAACAATCGAATCCCTGCAAACCAACACTTCATAATTAATCTACTGCTCAAGTGGCGACTGGTTCTATACAACGAGTTATCTGGAAATCTAGTGCAAAGTCGTAACCACCAGAGTCCTCCAAGTAAGGTAGGAGGACACCTACTCACCGATGATATTTGCTAGAGGTTGCGCAAAATACATCGCGAAATGGCAGAAGCTGGAATTCATGGACCATTGGGTCGTGTCCGAATGGCTTAAGAGTCTACAAGCTCCCCCTGTGACCAGAAGGTCCTGGGTTCAAGCCTTAGTGGGTGCGTACTGCTGAAGAGTCCCGAACTAGGACTGAACAGCTTTCCAGTACTCTCAGATTTCTAAATGGTTCTCTAACTGACATAGATCCGTGATCAAACTTGTAGCCAATACATAAGTAACATATTACGACTACTTAATACTTTTTCTCTTTTCGATAGTAAAGATATCTATCTCTCTATGTAGACTTCATGAACATAGACGCCCTAAATTTATCCTGTTGATGTAGATCACAACTATTAGACTGGGTTATGTGAAATATTTACGAATTGATCATTAAAATTGATTTTATGACCAGACAGTAGTGAATGCTTTGCAGTGGATGAAACTGGATTCCTATTTGAATTAAGTGCATTTGGCTTAATTATGTGAGCTGATAACCATTTATAAAAATGATCCTTCCGACAATACTGGAAGATTCTATTGGCCCTACTACACCACAACTGCAGGTGAACTTGTAGATACAGTGCGACATCTTTTATTCACTACAATTCATGCAGGTAGGTAAGTACTACTGTCAAACTTTTCACGACAAAGGCATTTCCTACCTAGATCATATTTACAAATTTACATTTCCGAAAAATTTCTATTTTCACTCTCCAAATCATTATTTCAATTTTTGTCTTCAGGGTAGAAGTCTACGACACACTTATTTGATGTATCTCATGCCTAACAGTTCCTACGATAAATATTTAAGGAATACTTAAGTCTGTTTTGCATACTTATTCCTTCATTTAAATAGTGTGATTTTGTGTAGCACGGTAGATACAGGTATAACTTAATAATTACCATCGTTACACTAAGGTCACAAATTTCCAGCAATGAGAATCTTTTCAACGAACTCATTATCAAGCTGTACAACCGTATACATATGGTTTTTAAGAAATTATTTCATCACTTGTGGAAATATAAAACTAAGGTATGAATACATAGAATAATAGTGCGAAATAGTATGCAATTTAAATGTTTGTGATGATAATCACAGTTTATTATCAACTGATAAAATAAATGTTATATTCGGAATAGATCATAGTATGTATGGAAAGGAGTGTAAAGTTAATTGGATTAGTAAGATTGTGGTGACAGCTGGCTACTAGCCAAAGTTGATAGACAGTAATTGACGTCAATGTTTATGTCCCCAATATTGGTGGTGAGAAAATGAGAACAAAGGCTTTGCATATGGATGATCTGACACAGCCACTTAGAGACGCAAGGTTAACTTTCTGTGAGAAACAACCAATCAAAAGACTGTATTTTCTACTAACAATAATCTACAATAATGTACATTAAAATCTATAAATATGTGTTGATTTTCCTTAATAAACGATCTGTTGCCTGGCCCTTGTCTTCCGTTGTTTCAAGATCAGTAGATAAGTAAGACATGACGCAACATGGTAAGGAGTTCGGTAGAATAGAATTTAAGTCTTGATTTGCAGGGATTTGATTAATTACAGGATTTCATCAAGAGCTGAAATTGTTTAGAGAACCACTGAAAAACTGGGAGTACTGGACAGCCGTTTCGTCCTAGTTTGGGACTCTTCACTCTACGCACCCCAGGTTTCTAACCCAAGGCCTTCTGGTTACAAGGCGAGATCGCAGACCTTTCAGCCACTGAGACCCGATCCAGTGGCTAGCCCATGAATACCAACTTCTACCGATTCACGATACATCACGACCACTACCCAATGTCATCGGTGAGTATCTGTCCTTACCCCTGACCCTAATGGTCATGACTTTTCACTAGAACTCAGGTAACAACCTAATAGAATTTTAACATTATAAAACATTTATTGACTTAAAATAATAAATAGGACAATTGAAATACTGCTGGAAACTTCAAAGTGAGAATAGTAATAACATAGATTAAATAAATAAATTTTTATCCCCCTACCCTCTACCTCTACAGGTATCAATAGGAACTGTAGATACTTATTTCGTACGCAAAAGTATGGCTTAAATTTATGAATGGCCAACGCTTCCGCTGTCTTTAGAAGTTCAGAAGTATAAAAGCGCTGCAGTTTGGCAGAAATTTGATAGATTATTTTAAAATCAAGGTTGGCGTTGGTACAGTGTGAGAAATCTCTGGTTATGGCCTATGAACATTGCTCAAGAATAGCAAGAGAACTGACAGATGCACACGGAGGCGGCCAGAAGACTCAGCCTATCTTTTACAGAGACGCAGAACAATTCACATTTGGTGAAGGTCAGTTGGAGTTTCACGGCGAAGAACGTCTTAATGACTTATTCAGAGAGATGATTGTTGAGCCTTTCTAAATTCTGATCACCTTTTTAGTTCCAAATTCATGAAGACAGTTTTCTTTGGAACTAAGTCAATGACCAGTTTAAATTGCTTATTTTTTGGTGTTTTTGTCAATGAATAGGTTTGAGTAGCCGTTCTCTGTAAGTATGGGTTTTAGGAAACAAAGTTATACATCAGTGCAATCAGAACTACAGACATTTCTTATCCTATAGCTGAGTGAATGAATAAAGTTTCTTTTCCAGGAGATAGACACCCAACTATAGAAGGTAGTTAGTTATCCATTCCATGTATGTTCTCAGCGTATGGGTTTTCTGAAGTATCCATCATTATGTCTTGTAAGGAACATATCAAGAAAAGGAATGCTATATTCAAATTCCTTTTCTTTGGTAAATTGTAAAGAAGGATAGCAGTTGTTGAATTCAAACCAAATATCACCAATTGTTACGTCCTTATCACATTAACTAAAGTATCGTCTAAATATCTTCTATAAACTTCAAAGTGACCAATGGTTTGACCAAGATGAGTGTTTCCAAGCTTTACAATAAAAGATAGAGAAATCTAGTAACTGCGAATATAGATCCTTGAATTATTGTATAAATCCATATTACGCACAGCAGTACATTCTTATTAGAAGTAAGAGGATGATGTTTCAAGCAGAATTCATTCCCCATAATCATAGCAGTATACTTGTAACGTATTGTACGTAGGTAAATTTGGTATACCATATTTTCAAACCGCCATTTGCACATCATTTACCACATCCTTGACAGATTGGTCGAATATCGTCACATTCGATAGCTTCTTGGATTTTGCATCATATGGCAACATTCTTCTCATAGTTCTCTACTTTGATTGCTCTTTCCAGTGTGCAAAACATATTGTTACTTGTCTGAATTCGCTTTCTGATATACTACTTATATCGAATTATGAGTAGCACTCACCACATATTCACTCAGCTTGTTTTTTTATGGTTTTTCCCTCCTGTTCTTTTTTAATTTACTCCTCCATAATATCTGAGATCGGTATTGTGTCATTTCTATTACATATATCCAGTGTCAGTTCAACAAGCAAAGATTCAGTATTCAACGTCCCTCTCCCTTTATATTACTTGTTAATGCGTTGATCCTGTCCCACTCTAATTAGTGATTACATGTTAGTACATGCATCCAACAAATGTGATTATCTTCGGCTATTTAAACTAGTTACATTCTTGTAACCTAATTTTCTGCGCATCACATCTATAAATCAAATGTAACATAAGAGAAATGAATGTGGTGATAGGGAATTACTGTCCCGTATTTTAACAAAAATGTGTTCATTTTTTCATTCATGAAAACTGGGGAACTAGAGGATATTCTTAAAGCATGAAGGTGACCTTGTTATTTCAGAATATGAAACTGTGTTGTGTTCTAGTTTGAACTTGACAGGTTCAGACGTGAAGCACTTATGTATCAAGAAAATTGGTTTGTACTATCTACTAACCGATAGCAGTGATTACAACCAACAAATTTGAGAACTATTCCGATTTTTAAATGAGAAGGTGACTGGATTGCTGGAAGAGATGGTAAAGCTCTTCATTTATAAGCAATCTGAACTGCAGACCTTTTTACATCTTCAAAAGATAGAGTTGGTGTATAGTGTAATGTCTTCCGGAAAATCGATGATAAATTTTGTATGTCACTTAAAAAACTGCTTCAAAAGAAACAGGCAGTGAATAGAACTGCCATCCTGAAGAAAATCAAACAAGTGACAATTAATGAAGAAACATATGTCCCTTTTTCAGAGGGGTTTATATTATTTGCAGATAGTATAAGGAATGAAATCTTTTCTATTTTATTTTAATTAGTTGTTACATCTTTCCTGGACCTCGACAATCCTCAATTTTACAATTAATATTTTAGGTGTCCAATAACTTTTCGTATTATAACTGCAATGAAACCCCATGCATTGCTTTGATGTTGTAACTGCAGGGTCCTCTGTCTTCTGTGAAGAAGGTACTGTATTTAGCCATCAACTTTCTGATTTTTGGTATTTAGTTTTCCATTGTTGTTGCTACGTCTACATTTGAAATTTCACTATTCCTCTATTTTGCAAACAGCTTCTCCATTGCTCTTGGTTTTCTGCTCCTTGTATCAGTCAGCGAACTTACTTCTCTCAGGAAGTTCATCCAATGTTTAACACCAGATACTT